AGCGGACAGAATCGTGCTTGTAGAGGGAGGTGGGAGCCGGTGGTCGAGAGTGGTTGAGAAATGGTGAGAAGCAGCGATAGCGAGCGGAAAGCGAAGACGCAAGAAGAAGCAAAGCGAGAGAGCAAGACGAGCCACGTGAGGTTACAGATAAGATGGAGAGAACCGCTGACTAACGCCTCTCCGGCTAGGCAGGGCGGGGAGGAGGCCAGAGGGCGGGCGGGCGGCCTTTGGGCGTCTCTTCAACTAAGTCTCAACCAAGTCTTAACTAAGTCTTTAACTGGCGTTACCTGAGCTTTAACTAAGCCCTTAACTGAGTCTTTAACTAAGCCCAAGACCAAGGCCTCGCCAAGGCCAAAGCCCCTGCCATCTCTGCTGCTGCTCTTCACCGTCCATCCTCGACCATATATATATATAATATTAGACATCCCTTCATCCCTTCTTCTTGTCCTGCAATTCCTCCTCTTGACCTCTCGTAACTGCCCGGAACCTTGGAGAATAAGCCTCGGCGCCGCTTTGCTGCCTGCTGACTGGCCGCCCGCCCTGGACTCCACTAACGGGAGGGATGAGACCCAAAGTCACTCTCGGGTGAGCGTCCAGGGGCGAGTGACTTCGGCTGGCTGCCTCTTATGCTTCTTCGTCGACGCACCTCACGAAGGCCCAGGCAGGTCCTTGATCGGCCGCTGCTTGCTTCTTCCTGCGGCGCCTCGTCTTCTCCGCGGGCTCCCTCGACTGCGACTTAACTACGACTTCTATGGCTATCACTTGGTTCCTGTATGTAGACTCCCATAGACTACAGAGAATGCTTCAACTCATCCCCTTCTCCAGCGCTCCACTTACCGTATTTAACCTTTGGACAGCGGCCAACTCGGAGATGCTCCAGCGGTTCTTCAGCTCCTCCGTTTGCTCTATCAAGTGACCGTCTTGCTCTCCTCGTTGTCTGGCCGAAGTCGTCGCAGGCTTGCTGGTTAGCCGACAGGGCGGCCGGGCCCCTGGGCTCACCCCCTGTCTCCTTAGATCTCTCTCCCTATACATTTTATCATATTATCATATAGCCATATATACGCATTTATAGGCAGTTAGAACGCCAACGAAGGCCTTATGCCATAACCAACTAGTGATCGAACTCGTCAGCCGGCAGCCAGGACCAGACTTGACTCACGGCTGCCTCTTGCCCGCCTGGTCCTAGCCGTTGAAACCGTATATGCGGGCTCCCGTCGCCCTCTTTTTCTCCTTCAATCGCCTGCTGTCGGCCTTGCTTCGGCTACGGCGGTCTCTTGTCTCTTTTCTGTTCCTTTTTTCCCTTCATCGTACTTTGCTTCTTTACGCTCGTCGAGTTATGCAATTATCGGCTCAACCCGAGATCTCAGCCCAGACATGCATATACTATCTCGAACATCTACCAATATATACCAAATCTG